ACATGTTCCCCTGCTTAAGCCAGTACATGTCCGGGCCCGTCTGAAGTTTGCTAGAGAGCATTTGGATGATCCAGAAGAGGACTGGGAGAATGTCATATGGTCAGATGAAACCAAAATAGAACTGTTTGGTACAAACACAACTCGTCGTGTTTGGAGGAGAGAGAATGCTGAGTTGCATCCAAAGAACACCATACCTACTGTGAAGCATGCGGGTGGCAACATCATGCTTTGGGGCTGTTTCTCCGCAAAGGGACCAGGACGACTGATCCATGTACAGGACAGAATGAATGGGGCCATGTATCATGAGATTTTGAGTGCAAACCTCCTTCCATCAGCAAGGGCATTGAAGATGAAACGTGGCTGGGCCTTCCAACATGACAATGATCCCAAACATACCGCCCGGGCAACGAAGGAGTGGCTTCGTAAGAAGCATTTCAAGGTCCTGGAGTGGCCTAGCCAGTCTCCAGATCTCAACCCCATAGAAAACCTTTGGAGGGAGTTGAAAGTCCGTGTTGTCCAGCGACATCCCCAAAACATCACTGCTCTAGAGGAGATCTGCATGGAGGAATGGGCCAACATACCAGCAACAGTGTGTGCCAACCTTGTGAAGACAGACAGGAAATGTTTGACCTCTGTCATTGCCAACAAAGGATATATAACAAAGTATTGAGATGAACTTTTGATATTGACCAAATACTTATTTTCCACCATAATTTGCAAATAAATTCTTTCCAAATCAGCCAATGTGATTGTCTGGATTTTTTTTTCTTATTTTGTCTCTCATAGTTGAGGTCTACCTATGATGTCAATTACAGGCCTCTCTCATCTTTTTAAGTGGGAGAACGTGCACAATTGGTGGCTGACTTTTGTGCCCCACTGTGTATGTATGGATAGACAGATAGATATTGTTAAATTTGTAATTGTAAAGGCAAAATTGACCTTTTTTTTTTTTTTTTTTTAAATTAAAAAGTATATCATCTTCATCTGTGGGTACTGATTGAATGACTTTTTAGTGTTAGTCTGTTTAAATAGTGTTAAAAAAAATATAAAATGTCAGCAATTACCATGGGGTGTTTCTACTTTTACCCAAAACGGTTATTGTGCAATTGTGTAAGCTTACTTAGATTTACATTTGTTCCCTTATTTAGCGTATGAGTACTTAAGGATAACTCTGGAGTAGAGAGACTCCCAGCTCCTGAATGGGCACAACAGTTTCCAACAACAAAGAATTCAGGCCAACCACAGAGAGCGGTTTGATACTGCACAATTTAGACCTTTGAGAGAGCGCACACAAGGTTACAAAGTTGACAGCAATGCTCAGTACTCAGGCAGGTTCTCAGCTTCTGCATTCTCCTTAAGTAGGCAAAGCTAAATAGGGGGAGAATTTTACTTTTAAATGTAAATCTGCCCAGTTATAATAATTTTCCAATAAACATTGAAGTTCTGGCGTAAACCTAAATGTTGTAAATTCCCTTTAAAGTGAACCTGTCATAACAGAATATGGGTGCTGCTACTGATTATTTAAAGCAGTTGCTAACTGACTGGCAGTCATGTTTAGCCTTCGGCTTTATTACATATGTAGTTGTCTGGGTTATTGACTCCCTATGCTTAGGACCCCTTATCACCAACTTAAAAAATTACAGGCAAATGTAGAGAAAAATTAAGTATTTTAAATGCTTACTTAAGCGTTTTTCTTTTCTATACATTATTTTAAACCCTTTTGATAAAAATGCCCTTAAACTTGCTAGATAATGTGCCTACTACAGGCAAGTTAATTCTCTAGCATAGCCCTCTCCTTCCTTGCACACCATAGCCCTCTTCTCTTCCAGGAGAATCTAGTTACTGTCCGTGTTGGTCCTGGTCCTTCACTCCTCCCCTCACTTCCCTATATAACCTTTTTAATTAGTTGCCTGGAAAGGAGCAAAGATGAATATTATGAAGCAGGAGTCCCAAAACTTTCCAAACAAAGAGCTAGTTTACAATCCTTCAGGCTTTAGAGGGCCAGACTGTGACCAATGGAAGGAGAAAATGCCCTGGCATCAGTGGGAGTAATCAATGCTCCATCATTGGTTTCAGTGGAAGGAATAGTGCCCCATTGATGGTGTCAGTGGGAAGAATGGCGCACCATCACTGGTGTCAGTGGGAGGTATAGTGTGCCAAGGGACAGACACTGGCAACCAAAGGGCCCAACCCTGTTCCCATGCCACAGTTCGGAGACCACTGCTATAGAAGGTTATTGAATGACAGCTCTGAGTTTGCTGTGGCTGCTGACATCACATCCAAGATGCTGGTGTACCAACAGCAATTTCAGGCCTTTACACAAGGGAGGAATTTACAGCTAAAGAACTATGTAATGCAAAAAAAATTAATGGTCAGAGACGATAGGGTCTCTTACTGGCTACATGCCTATCAATGCAAATGATTCCCTAAGAAGTGGAGATTGAGTGTACCTTCTTGGTCTTTCTAAAATCAGTCACCAATGGCAATGCCCATATTTGTATGACTGGTTCACTTTACTGGCAGCCAAGTAACACATCAAATATTATCCTTTTTCATATGCGTAAACTCCAGGCAACACCAATGTTTGCAAAAAAGTTTGTAATCCTTTAAATCAAAAAGTTGAAAAAAGGCAATTATATTTTCGGTAATTAGAAAAACATAACAAATGTAAAAACTATCAGTAGAAGTAAAGCACAGAAATATAAAACCCCCAAAAACAAAACAAAAAAAAAACAACTGCAATAAGTGCAATTGTTATAATATATAAGAAAATAAATATTAACACAAAAAAACACACAGAATTAAAATAGGGACACACACTTCTATAGAAATTCAGACAGGCTACGTAAAAACAGCAGTACTATGGCTGTGCGCACACAGTGGTATTTAGGTGCTTAATCCCACCAAATAGCCAGGATACATGACTTTGAGACCAAAACACAATGCACGCAAGCATTTACACAAAATGCCAAAGTAACAAAGATGCAAAATCCTGATCTAACCGGGGCCCTTGATTATTTAAAATTTTTCACAATTGTGTGCTTCATGATGGCCTTACCCATATGACCTTGGTATATCCCATTATTACACAGAGCAGTGCTTTGCAACAACCAAATGGCACCCAATAACCATTTACTTCAGAGTACGCAGGTCAACTAAATTCGTTTTTTGGGACCTGCCCTTGTGGGCTCCTTAGGAGGGATGCTTGTTGCTTGGTTGTGTCTTAAGGTCAATACTTTGAGTCACAAATCTTGAAAACATACATACTGTATACGTGTCAGAATTGCTTATATCTGTACTAGTTCCAAGTGAGCAACTTAAGCCAGCCATAGATTGATCGAATCTCGTCTGGTTCAGCAGAGACCAGCCGGGATTTGATCCATCTATGAGCAGGCTGGTTGTCCTGAAGTCAATCCATCGATCGACTTCAGCACAACCAGCCTATTTTTTTTTTTTTCATGCAACAACTGCCGGCAGCTATAGCAGCCAGAGTGAGCATTGTGTTCTGCCGGCAGGGAAGGTTCCCTGTCGGCAGGACATAAAAGTGCTGTGGGAGGGATTTCCCCAACACTGTGTTGATGGGGGAAATCGAGCAATTTTCTTTCCTGTATAATCTATGGCTTGCCTTAGGAAGCATGAAAGTCTATTCATTACTATAACATCCAGGCAACTAGCATTTTCAGAAGGTGAAGTTAACAACAGCAACTGCCATGATTCTCTGACAGGTTTCGTCGGTTTCTGAAACCGGAAAGGCTGTTGACGTGTCTATTAAATTGGTCTTCTAAGCCTGACCGATAAAAAAAAAATTGTCTGTGCCTTTCTTTAAAGAGACCCTGTCACCAACTTAAATATTGCAGGTATAAGCACAGAAAATCAAGTATTTTGAAAGTTTTTTTTGGTGATTTTTCTTTAAATACATTTTTATTCAACTTTAATATGCCTTTGAACTTGCTAGCAAATTTGACTTCTTCAGGAAGAGACTTTCTAGCTCAGCCCCCACTCTCCATGCACAGCACATCCTTCTCTACCATTGGAAGTGTCCTATTACAATCTCCATGGACCCAGCACCTCCACCGCTTACTACACCTCATTACATAACTGTTATGCAGCTGTTGAAAGGATGAGCAAAGGGAATTCTATAGAGTGTCCCCGAGAGACAGTTCTGAGTCCACTGGAGCCGCTGACATCACATCCAAGACTGTGGTGCCAAGCAGCAGTCTTAGGGTTTTTGGAAGAAGGCAGGTACTATTCTATTCTACAGGTAAATAACATGCATAAAAGTATCATTTTAATGGAAGATTGCTAAAATTAATAAACTATTAACAGGGTCTCTTTAAAATCAACAGGCATCAGTGAAGGCCATGCAATGTCCTTGCACTCCCCCACCACCAACAGCTATAACATGGGACAGAGGTGAAACCCAGAAGCAGGTCTTTTCCTCCCATGATAAATTCTTCAATATGTCTATGGGCGTTTATGCAGTTCTTTCCTGAAATTAAATTAGTTACCAACTTAAAAGTCAACAGTACCCAAGTCCAGTTCTTTCTTAACCAACGTGAATTTAGCACGTTGTAGAAATAATCATGTAGTTTTGAAATTCACATTGTAAAAAAACACTGAACACCCATTGTTAGTTCATGATTAAAAACTAAGGCAAAGTAAAAATACTTTAAAATATATACATAAATGACATTTTGGGTGTGCCAAATAACTCCTTTTGGACCAAGTACAGAAAGATTATTTTGAAGTTGATCTGCCTGCCAGTAAACATTCCATTTAAATAAATTATTTATTTGGTAGACATAAGCATAGGTCCTTAAGGGATTCCACGTGTGGAAGTGCTCTGCATGGTCATTAATAAGTTGGTAAAAGGCCTTTTCAAAGTAAACAACACCTCCAAATATGGAATGGCCCTTTACCTTTGTTCGGCATTTCAAAGGCTATGCTTTTGTAATAGTCAGATTGCTTTCTTTTGCTCCATACAAAGGTCCATTTTACCCTTACAAAGAGAAGTAAATAAACATGAACACTCCTACAGAACACACACAGACCAGTCCGGTGTTGAGAATTCGCTGAATAGCTGGCTTCTCTTCGAGCATTTTTAGACATGCTGCTTCATCCTCTGCTTCTTCCTTTATGGTTCTTTTGTTGGCTGTGCTGCTTTTATAGCCACAGAACCAGTCCAAAAACTTGGAGCACCTGCCCTGGTCCTCGTTAACCCTATCAGTGGGGTTCTGACCCATAAGAGCTGCTTGCCCATTGGAATAACAATCCACGGGTGTCTCAGCCTCAGAGACACTCAAGGAGCTCAGAGGGTTAGAGTCATCTTTGTAAGTCATTAGAAGGTTAACATCTTCATTTTGGATGTTCTTAATGTGATCATCAGACTTCCCATTGGGCAGCGCTTGCTTTATATTAGTTTCTGTGATTGGTGAGGAATTTTTTTCACATTCTTTATAAGAATGGTCTTTGAGCGTTTTTTCTTTTATGGTTTTGTTTTTTAGTGCCCAGAAAGTGGTGGTTCTGATCTGATCTTTCTTTGGAGGTGCTGTCAATAGGCTCACTACGATAGCAATAATACCAGTGATCCAAAACAGCGCAGTTGCCACATACATATAGTGAATATTTTTTATAAAACTGGGCCTATTATCTGGTAAGTTGCACTCTGGGGCACGATAAATAAAGGCAAGAATGAGGCGAGTTACCCCAAGTATGAAACCTATCATGCCACCATAGAAGGCTCCTTGTTCATTGCAGCGTTTCCAAAATATGCCCAACAGGAACAAAGCAGCAACAGGAGGAGTCAAGTAATCCGCAACCTCTTGAATGTAAAGGTACATTTGACCTCCTTGCATTTCCACGATGATGGGAACCCATGCAATACTGATAATGACCATAAATGCTACAAAGACCCTCCCCACCAGCATAAGTTCACGAGATGTTGCACTTTTCCGGATACATTTGTATATGTCAAGAGTAAAGATGGTACTTGCACTGTTAAATATGGAATCAAGGTCACTCATAAGAGCTGCAATCATTACAGCCATCATGAGACCACGCAAGCCAACTGGGAGGACCTTCATGACTAACCGAGGGTAGGCAATGTTGGAACACCCGGCCCTGCTGCCACACACTGCCATGCAGTGCTCTGGATTAATGCAAGCAATGTCATCCACAAACATAATTCTAGATATCATTCCCGGAATTACTATTAAGAACATTGGCAGTATCTTTAAAAAGCCCGCCATAAGAGTTGATCCTTTGGCATGAGAAATGTTTTTTGCTGCTAAAACCCTTTGCACGATGACTTGGTCCGCACACCAGTACCATACTGAAGCTGGCGTCTGACCCAATATAAATCCAGGCCATGGAATGTCTTCATCGGTAGCTTCACGAAGCATTTTTAGTGAATCTGGCTTTGGTGTGACATGGCAGGAATTTGTATTGGTAAAGTTATAGGTCAGCAATATAGATGTGACGTTGGGTGTTGCAAGCATGTATCTCCTTTTAACTTCTTCAAATCCTCCGATTTCCACAAAGCTTATTATTGTCAATGTCAAGGCCCCTATAATCATGAGGAAGGCTTGGAGTGTATCCGTATAAATAACAGCCACCAAGCCCCCTGTCACTGTGAGAACAGCAGTCATCCCAATGAGCAAAATCACTGATAAATAAAGGTTCCATCCCAGAGATTCCTGAATGAACAATGCCCCTGAATACAAGTCTACAGATAATTTGGTAAAAATGTACAAAATCAAAGACAAAACAGCAAAGTACACTTGGATTCTATGTCCTCCATAACGTTTAGATAAGTACTCCGGCATAGTGTAAACTCCAGAACGTATATAGACTGGAATGAAGACCCATCCTAGAAGCTGCAAAAGTAACAAGGCATTTAGTTCCCAGGCCCCTACAGCAAATCCACTTGCTGCTCCAGATCCTGAGAGTCCAATGAAATGTTCACTACCGATATTGCTTACAAATAAGGAGGCACCAATAGCTGCCCAGGTCATCGATCGACCTGCCAGGAAGTATCCACTTATAGTACTCCTGTTGGACTTCCACATTGCAAAAAATCCAAAGCATAACACCAACACAAAGTACAGCGCCACTATGGCGATATCTGCCGCTTCCAATGAAGCCCTCATGATTAGATCCTGCGGTTCTTTAAATTTTTGTACAATCCTTTTTAAAAAGGACAGGTGCTTTAATGTAAAACAGTGCAAAAAACGTCTTTGTCCTTTGGTTTGCTCTCTTGATGTTGGTTCCTGCAATATCCGATGCTTAGCATGCAGTTTTTATTTAAATCGACCATTCCCAAAGCCATCGGCTTTTTGAACGTGAAGACAGGACTTATGGCAAGGAACCCTGCAAGGTAGCAAAAACAAAAAAGACAAAAAGACAAAAATTAGAAAAGGTAGTCATTGTGGAGACAATGACACTCCAATTAAAAAAAAAAATATATATATGTATATATGCTGAACAATGAAGCACCTGATTACGTGTAACTTGAAATGATAACAGCATGGATTTCTTAACCCAAAAGAGAAGACATTTTTCAAGAAAGAGTTGTATCTCTGCTTCCATTACCAGGTTTATCTACATCCTCCTGACATCAGGTACTGCTCTGTTGAACTCCCACTTATGCCTCAGCTGGGAAGTAATCCTATCCTTGGATAAGGTGTCTTATGCCTCCTTCCATCATATGGGCAACTGATGTCATAGGGTGCTAAGACATGCCAAAATAAAGGAAGACAGGGCACAACTTCCTGAGAAGAGTTAGGCAAAATGGTATATCAGATAAATATATCACTGGATTATCAATTTAAAAGAGCAAAGGCTAAATTTTCAATACATGTCCTAGCACAGAAGGAATTCATATGCCCATTCCATCATATCACAAAAATAAAGGGATTATTCCTCATTTAAGGATAGCAGATGAAACCATGTAAATGATTCCTTTATACCCATAGCCAACTGTGCATCCAGAGCCGTTTGCGAATAACACAGATTCAGCCTAATATAAAGCAATTATTCCCACCTGCAAACAGGAGTTTCAAGCTTGTAGGCCATCATCAAAGCAGTGTACAGAAATCATGGCTTCTATGGGGTAGGGCTTGTGGACCAACAAAACAAAGTATGGACTGAGAAGAACCAAAATGCCCTCCACTGAACCAGTGCATAGCACATCTCTTCTAAGAAGGCTCTACTGTGCTTTGCACTAGATAAGTGAAGGCGTTCTTAGTAACTTTAACACATTCCCAACATAACTTTTTGGGTTATAATTATACATTTCCTAAAACCAGTATACAACAATGTAAAATATCTTAATGTCAGGTTCAATAATATGGCTAGTTCAAACAGTAGACTGATTTTATAGTCAAGAATTAAATTATATTAAACATATAAACCATACACAGGGCTCAGGTGACATCCCAAGTTAAAAAAAAAAAAAAAAAAAATAAGGGAAACCCATCTAGGGGCACCTGTATGAGATCCAAACCAAATATTGAAAGGCCATGAGGAGTTTATTTCATAATAAAATATCAAAAGCCCAAGCCAATGTTTTATTTCCAAGGGTTCTACTGGGTGCTCTTTATTAGGGAATAAGAATCTGGATAGTCTTGGACTTGAAAAAAATTGAAAACATTAAAATCTCAGTAATAAGAGTAAACTTCAGCAGCTGAACATTCTGGAACATGCTGTCCTTTCGATGTTTTATGATGGAAAAAAAAACTCTTCAAGGTTGCTGAACATTTGGTCTGGCGCTCTTGTTTTTTTTCTGTTTCTCTATGGTCTGTCTACCTATTTTTATATCTGTTCTTACATTTATCTTAGCAGTGTATTAATCACAGTCACCTAATGGCTTCTTATATAATGTATGGACTTCAGCAGCATAAGCCCAAGATTTCATATCTATCCATCTTACAAGGTCATCAAGTGAATTTCAGTATTTTAGATTTTTCAATAATTTTACATAATTTAATTGAATATCGTGAAGGACTGGGACCTTCAATGGAGAGATCTCTCGGCTTTGGCATTGCTAAAAGATGTCTTGTCACTTATCCCCCCCCAAACGATCTATTATACAAAAAGTTAGCCCAACAAATCGTAACAAATCATATTTTGGTCCAGCAGAGACCAGACATAGTTAAAATATCAATTTTAGGTGGACGTGATATTAAAGACTAATTAGAAAAAGTCAGTTAAAGCAATGTCTAGAGGCATAATTAGTGGAAAGGATATTTGGCTACCCACAGGCGTTCTATTTGTTAAACCTACTAAAAAGACAATCAGACCTCTTCTTAGTCTGTAAGTCTTCTAAAAGTAATACATTACATTGTATTATGATATACAGCTAATAAAAGATTTACTCCAGGTAAATAGGAGGATACTATCCCACTTCCTGCCCCAGGGGACAATGTCAGCCAGATAGATAGATATATGGTCTGTCTTCCTCTAAGATTTCTCTACTACCCTCCTGTGCAGGTGACATGTCACCAAGACAAGAAATGAAGGGGAATCTTCCCAACCAAGCAGTAATACGTAACTGAAGTTCTGACACTTCAACAGTGGGGTTGACTTACAAAGCAGGAGAATCTGTTCACTTAGCAAGCTAATTGTTCCCGAAACTTAGTAAATAAGGTGAAGCAGTATTCACTTTGAATACCCAATCATATGCAATGGGAAAAACAGGATTTTTCATCCAGGAATGGGTGACTAAAGTGAACAAAGCTTTATCTCATTTACTAAATCTCAAGGAACATTCTTAGGGGATGATTTACTAAAACTGGAGAGTGCAAAATCTGGCGCAGAAACCAAACAGCTTCCAGGATTTGTTAAAGCTTAAATGAACAAGCTGAAGTGAGAAGCTGATTGGCTACCATGCACAGCTGCACCAGATTCTGCACTCTCCAGTTTTAGTAAATCAACCCCATAGTCTCTATTCCTTTAGTACAGTGGTCTCCAAACTGCACCCAGGGGCAAGATGTGGCCCTTTGCTTGCTTTTACCCAGCCCCTGGGGCATTATAAACTCCACTGTCAGCAACAGTGTGGCATAGTTCCTGCCACTGACAATGGGTCGCTAGTCTTCTAATTGACACCAATGACTGGGCACTATTCCTCCGACTGGCACCAATGGTGGGCCACCACTCCTCCCGTTGATACAACCGGTGGGCCACCACTCCTCCCGTTGATACAACCGGTGGGCCACCACTCCTCCCGTTGATACAACCGGTGGGCCACCACTCCTCCCGTTGATACAACCGGTGGGCCACCACTCCTCCCGTTGATACAACCGGTGGGCCACCACTCCTCCCGTTGATACCAGGCACCACACCTCCCGTTGATACCAATGGTGGGGCACCACACCTCCCGTTGATACCACTGGTGGGGCACCATTCCTCTCACTGAAACAGATGATAGGGCACAACTCCTCCTATTGACAATGAAGGGCCACTATTCCTCCCATTGATCGGGCACTATACCACCCCATTGATAACATCAATGGAGCACTAATCCTCGCACCGATACCAAGGATGAGGCACTATTACTCAAACTGACACAAGGACATTGTCTACTCTCGCAGGTCACAATCCAGCCCCGTTAAAGTTCAATGGACAGTAAATTGCCCTTTGCTTAGAAAGCTGAAGACTCTTGCTTTAGTAAATCAACCCCTGAGTGATTGATGAATAGGAAGTCCTATCAATCCTCACTCTGCTTCGATTGCTGCTTCCTACTTCTGCCATGGATAATTTCAAAACCATAAAAGATCAGTAATAAGTGGCCTTCCAGTGCCTGGATTTCTCACACCCAGCACCAGGTACTACATAACTGTCAAAATGCTTGCACTGCTTAGGCACATCACATTGTATATATCTTATCATAAACATCAGTGGTGAAGAGTATCCACGCCCAAAACAAAAATGTAATATACTTTAATTTACCAGTTGTTGTGGTGGATGCATTAGTTTTCACTTTTCAGGCTAGAAACATTCTCAGCAAGTACAAAAAAATTCCTGTTTATCTTGCCAGAAATATTACTAGTCCCATCAATCCATCATGTAATGGGAATGAACAAAGATGTGTTGAAGTCCTGCCAGGGTGACAATCATGGCTGCTTATGTGGACAATTTGGAAAAAAAAAAAAAAAAAGTAAACATGAAGACAGGACATGCGTTATTAGCACCAGGTGAAAATAAAAAATGAAAAAGTCTGAAAAAAGAAATCAAATGCAGCAATATTTACAGATTGGTACACTGCAATATACTACATTTCTGTTTCGGGATTAGATATGCTTTAACCACCTTATTATTAGGTACATTGGGTGCACAGCTGGTCAACTTACTTGATATAGGGGCCTCGAGTGCAGCCCCTGATATCCCAAAGTTCTGCACATAATATTCAAAGAATGCAATGCTGCAGAAAATTGCCAGAGAGTACAAAAATAGAACAGGAGACTGTCAGACTACAAACATGATGTAGGAGTTGTTGGGAGCTGGGTACATAATTCGGGAGACAGACTGAAGCCATGTTACATCAATAATTTAATGCTTCCACTTTTTTTGCTCCCAACAGCCCCATAAAAATTGACTTGGGCCATATTTTGTGTTTTTCTCATCAATAGAAGTCCTCATGCACCCTGGATGTTTTTACAGCGGCTGTTTTTGGCTTTTGACGTTTTTTTTCTACAGCAAGTAAACACCCCAGAATGTGTCCATGCACACAGACTGTAATCAACATTTTTTGGCAGGGACGTTTTTTAGCTGGAAAAAAAAAAAAAAAAAAACAGAACTGATGGGTTTTTTTTTTAGCTGTAAAAACGCTCTGACACTGAAAAAAAAAAAAAAAAAAAAAGTGGCAAAATGTGGTAAAAATGCAGCAAACTAGCATTTCTGGACTACAAAAACATTTTTCTGGGGGTCAAGAAACAAAAAAAAAAAAAAAAAAAAAAAAAACCGAACCTCTAAAAAAAAACCCGAACCTCTAAAAAAATGTGAAAAAAATTAAACAAAACACAGCTAAAACACTAATACAAATACGCTGAAAAACATACGTTTTTAATGGGACTTTACACAGCTAACGTTACCAGCGTTATTAAAATGCCCCGTATGCATGGAAACTTAAAGATCAGGAGAGAAAAAAAAA